CTGCTTCTCCCTCTGACCCTCCCCCCTCTCATGTGCTCTCTCTCATTCATATTCTCTCCCTCAAATAAATAAATAAAATCTTTAAAAAAAAAAATTAAAAAAAAAAGAATTTTCTGTTATGTAACCACTGTTAATCACTATTAATTTTTTTATATATTGTTAGCAAATACACTGTTAAATTTTTGGTATATTTTTATCTGTATGTACTTTTAAATCATATAGTCATATTATTTTATATATTGCTTTTAAAATGAATACTGCCTTTTAAATTTATGAATTTATCATTAATTTCATTCATTCTTCATAGCTGTATAACATTCTGACAGATAAGCTCTAATTTATTTAACTGTCTCTTTCTTCCTACGCATTTAAGCTGTTTTTAGTTCTTTATAAATTAAAAAAAAAGCTGCAGAGATGTATTAAAAAATTCTTCTTCCTAACCATCCCCCCTGCCTTTTTTTTCTCATTTTGGATAATTTTCTTTTTTCTTTCTTTCTTTTTTTTTGGATAATTTTCTTAAGATATATTTCCAGAAGTTGAATTACTCAATCAAATTATATGAACATTTCTAATAAGACATCTCAAAAGGCAGCTCCTACCAGCAATGCTTGCAATTCTATGAATGTTTTTTCATTTTGTTTTGCATAGTTATAATCATAGTGTACATATAATTCTGTGTCTTATTTTCAGTTAGGATTATACTTTACCTTTTTGATGTTGCTGTATGACCTTTATAACCACCATTTTAATAGCTCCATAATATTCTACCCAATGAAAATACTATAATTACTTAGTCATTCTTATATTATTGGTTGCTTCCAATTTTTCTTCTTATAAAAATAACTGAATACGGTACAGAGTTTTCATGGTTGTTGGTACTCTTTTTGGATTGTTTCCTATAGATTTTTAAATATATAATTATTGGTCTAAGAACATAACAATATTTAAGCCCCTTAAAAATGTATTACCATTGTCTTGCAGTATGGCAATATTAGGATTTGCTGTGGTTAGCAGCATATTAACTGGATGAGTTCACTATGTCCTTACTGACCTTTTTCACAGTCCAGTGAATTTACAGCCATAATCTTACATTCTCCCCTTATTCTTTATACCAACTGGAAACAAGTGAGCACAATGCTTTTTAAAGCTAGTATATCCTTGTATTTGGTTATTATCCAAGACATAATGAAAGAATTTGGATGATATCTGTAATACCAACAGCTCAGGACTAGTAAGAAAATGACAGATAGTCTGATATGACAAAATTTCAAGACTTCCAAGCATGAGTACTCTTTTTCTTAATGAGATATAATTGATACATAACATTATCGTAGTTTCTAGTGTACAGCATAATATTTGGTATTTGTGTATATAGTAAAATCATCAATACAGCATCCTATACCATCCATCATCACTATATATGTATATATATCAGATTTTATTTATTTATTTATTTATTTATTTATTTATTTATTTATTTTTTTAGTAGTCATTTTAGTAAAAGTGTAGTGGAATCTAATTATAATTTTATTTATTTATTTAGAGAGTGCATGCATGCAGGAGTGAGGGAGGGGAGGGGCAGAGAGGGAGGAAGAAGGAAAGAGAATATCAAGGAAACTCCACGGAGTGTGGAGCCTCATGTGGGGCTCCATTCCATGACCCCAAGATCATGACTGAGCCGAAACCAAGAGTCAGATGCTCAACTGACTGAGCCGCTCAGGTGCCCGTATCTTTTCTTTATCCATTTATCCATCAAAGGACACTTAGATTGCTCCTATGTCCAGGCTATTGTAAATAACTGCAGTGAACATAAGGGTGCATATATTTTTTCAAGTTAGTGTTTTTGTTTCCTCAGGATAAATACCCAGAAGTGGAATTA